AGCAGGACACTGAAGGTGACGTCCATGATTCAACTAACGATAAAGTCAACAATGATGGAGGAGGAGAGCAGGAGGCGGAGAAGTGATGATTGCGTGCGTGTGAAAGGGTGGGCGGCGGTGTCGCAAACAGAAGCGTAGCAGCGGTCAAAGGAAGGCGCGTAAGTCAGTCAGTCAGTCAGTCAGTCGGTCAGTGTTCCATGAAGTAGTAGAGCTTGTGAAAATTTAAAATTACGTTGAACTGTGTGCGTGCGGTGCGCGCTTGCCTTCTCGTAGTAGTTTGTTTGTAAAATATAACTATTTTGAATTTGTATACAAGCTGTAGGTGCCGCCGCCGCCGTCGTCGAGTGTCTTTGTGCGCAGCAGCGCCGGCAAGATATCAAACGGCAGGCGTGCGGCTGGCGCGCGCTCTCTTGCTGAAAGTGTGCAGAAGTTGAAGTTGGGGTAGTTGAAAGTGTTATTTGAGGATAGTTCGTATCAAATGTGTTTAACATTTATAAAATTAAATGATGATATGAAATTTAGACCTTTAACTGTAAAAACTACTAAACATGCTACTATTAAAACTATTTACTATAAACTAATTGATTGATTTTGTTAAAATGTAGACGATAAGTTAAACAATTTGAAGCATTGAAAAGTGAAGCAAAATACAACTACTTGTATTGGAAGAATTAGTATATTTAGACGCTGAAAAGAAAAAAAAAACAACTTCCTTGTAGTAACTTTTAAAATAGTTTTTCTTTCGTAACTTTTTATGTGCAAATACTTCTTATATACATACATTTATATACTTATGTATTTAAAATCAAGTTTTAGAGCGATTGGGGGAGTTACAAATTTCGAGCGGCAAAGAGGACAATTGTTTATAAAATTTCATGCGATTGCGTTGTCTTCTTTTTCTTTATTACTTTAGCAAAAAAAAAAGCTCCGCCCTTTCGCGGCTTTAAGCATTGCTTGCAAAAAGTTTAAATTTGCTTCCATTGCAATGCCTAGTGGTTAGTGTTTTTATATATACCTAATTATATTTTATTAAAATTACTATATATACTTACATTTGTATATTTGAAATTTTTGTGATATCATTTTTCTTAACCAAAACAAAAACAAACAACTTAAAGTTAGAGAGAAGAAAAACAAAAACGATAACAACAAGAAACTAATGTGACATGAATTTGAGTAATGTAACGAATTGAATCAAGAAAAAAAAAACCTAACTGGACAAAACAAATATGTACCCCAAGAACGAATCAATGAAGAAGTTGATTACATATGTACAACTAAACTTTATACCTAAGAAACAAAAAAAGTTAAAAAGAAAGAATCGCAACGAATGCGGCTTAGAAGCGGATAAAACAAAATCTATATTTATGAAATTTCATAAAGCGTTTGATGAGCGTAACGGGCAACAACAAAAACAACAACAAAAACAAAGCGTACATTTACCACATTAATAAAGAACGAATATAGCGGCGGCATCTTAAGTGGGCAGCGGCGTTAGCGAGCGCTTGCATCTCCAGCGCTGCTGCGGCCACGCCCCGTTAAAAACTTCATTTACTTGAATAATGAAGGAATGAATTTGAGGTTACAGGCTTATTTAGTAGTAACACAAAACTAATTCATTGTAAAATGCATACATATGCATACATACATACATAAGTATGTATGAAAGAAGCGTATATGAGCTATAAAAAAAAATAAAACAAAATATCTTTTGTTTACATCAATTTCACTTGATTTGATTTCGATTGGCTGTAAAACAGAAAAGAAGAAACACTAAAATAGTGCTGAAATTTGATTTTTGCAAAATATTGAACATAACTTTTTTTTAAAATGAATAATTACATACAATACTTATAACTTTCTATACACACACACACACACACCTATACATACAAACTAGAACATTGTTAACTTACATAAATACGTAGAAATGTAGAAAAAAGAATTAAATATGAATAAAGCGCATTAATAAGCTACCATTTTTTATAATAATGAACACAAATCTTTCTTTTTTTAACAAACGATTTCGATTTGGTGATTATTTTTAAAACCACCCCACCAACAACAGCAACGGCAACTACCACAATTTCTGGAACTTGTTTACACTTATTTTTTAGTAGCTTTGTAGGTCGCTTATTTTAAGAAAACGCCGGAGGGGAAGAAGAAGAAGACAGTTTTGAATTATTTGCTCAAAAAAAAGTGAGTTATTTTTTTCTGTTTTGGTTTTCTTAAAAATAATGATTTTTAAATTTTGTAGCAAATATGTGAACCCAACTATTTTTTATTATCTATTAAATACTTATGCTACTTATATAATAAACATAAACCTAACACTAAAATAAATGCTACGTACATAAATATTATATATACACATACATACGTATAATAATAAACTGCAAGTTGAGACGGGTTAGTCGTTTAAGGCGTACGTTTCAAGTCGCTGCGTGCGCGAATTTTCAGTGGATGAATTTCTAACTTTCGGTCTCAACTGTTTAACTGTCGATGTAATTTTTACTAATAAGATTTATTTACGTGCACGTACATACGTACATGAAAAATATAAATTTATATAACTAATATATCTATATACATACTTACATATATATATGTATATGTATATATATATTAATATGTACATGCATACCTAAATATATAGATATACAATATGTATGATATTAAAAATACTATATACTATTATATACATACGTACATATATTTGAAATTTATAGCATTGCATATGTATGCTAGTGGCAAAAAAGCAGCATAATGACACACACAACACAGTTAAATAAAGAAACAACAAAAGAATACGCTATTATGTAGTGTAGTGTTTTAGCATTTTGAAGATCGGACGCATTTTTTTTTTTTAAATAAATAGATACCTAGATTTAGTAGCGAGTGGTGCCTTTTTTATACATTTGCTATTGCATTTGATTTTTACGCTCTTGGACAATTTTCAATTCTTTATTTTTACACACATCGAAAAAGCCAGCACATACTCACAAAAAAAAGATACGATTTTTTTTATTATAAGTGATTTTTTTGCCGCGTTCGGCAAAATTATTTTCGAAGGCGTTTAGGCGTGCGCTATACGCGCTTAAACTCATTTTCAGTCCTGAAGAATGCCATAACTCTACATAATTTGCTCAAATTGTTTTTAAACTGAGCCACTCGCTGCTCTCGCTTATACATACCTAGATTACTATATGTGTATATCCATACACATACAAATTGATACCACTAACGTCAGCGTAAAAAAGGATATTTTTTTAATAAAAACTTAAATTCGTACATAATACAATAAACGGCTTGTAAATATGATTACAAAATTATAAAATAAAAAAAAAATTATTGCAAATGCTTATGATAATACGAATACAATTGTTTAAATAATAAATATATGTACATACATACATATGTAGCTATATAATTAATAGTTTATACCACTATGAAGAAACGAAGAAACGCAAAAAAGAAGAAAAATGAAATCTCATGTAATGAATTTCGAAATGTCAAGCAATTTCAGCATACAAATTATATACAAATAGTAAAAGAGAAAAGAAAAAACCACAGCAACTTCCGGTACAACAAAAAAGAATACCCTTTTTATACAAAAACCAATGTCCATAGAAATATATATTACTACTTAAAATATGTTTACACATATGTTCACAAAAACACACAGCCACACACATCGCAACACACCCATACATACATATATATGTACACATGTACAATACACTGCGTACACATAGTAAGTTTATAACAAAAATTCTATTTTTCTACAAAGGTAAGAGAGACCCATAGTGAATCATTTTTTGCACCATGCAAATTACTAAAACAAAAATTTAGAAGAAAAAACTAAGCGAAACGAAATGAAGTTGTACATGCGTTTATATACATACATATATTTTCTTATTTTTTTTGTTAATTTTTTTTTATGAAACTTAAGTATATTATACATTTTTTATATTTTATAATAATAATACAATATACATATTTATAGCAATTTCGGTTTAAATAAAGCATTTGAAATTTACAAAAGAAGTTTGCATAATAAATAAATCATGCAAATTAACCACACAGTGACTCAAAAGAGCGTTTACATGTTGATTTTTTTTAAACATATCGTTATGTTTTTTAAGTAAACATTTTTTTATTTATTTTTATAAAAATATTGTTCATGCTATAACCAAAACCATACAAATAAAAGTCCCAAACTATTAAAAATTAAAAAAATCTAAAAATTTTCATTAAAATTCCCAAATTTTTTATTTTAATTTTTGGACAATTTTGGTGTATGTCGTTTTGTTTTGAGCGGTTCTTAATATGCGGTGTAAAAAAAAAAAATTAAAAATCATCGCGAATTCTTAGCTGCTTCAAACATGCACTTTGTTTTACTATAGAATTTCATGCGCTATAAAACTGCATACTAAAATTTCATGAACTTTTTTTGAATTTTGTACAAAGTTTAAATTTTTAATTGAAATGATTTTGGTTTTAAGTAGCATGCACAAAATTTTTATAAAAAGATGAACAAAAAAATTTTAACCTGAAAAATATTACGAATATTAAAGAAAAATCACTTGTGAACGCTTCTTTGAGTGACTGTAGCTAGTTTGCAAACATCTATGTATTCAACTAAAAGATGAAATATAATAGAAAAAATAAACAAATATTGTAAAAAACAGTTTCAGTTGGCATTAAAGCGAAAGCTCCACCCTAACGCGCATTAGCTACAGCAAACACAAAAATAAGAAACAAAAAATATATTTGCAATGAGTTGCATTAAATTACGAAAATAATTTATCAACAAAAATAGGTAGAGCAACCAAAATCTGAAATCCTCGCATAAACTTTTCATATTTTTTTACACACCTGAAAAGTTAAGTTTTTTTTTTTATATTTACAATACAAACCGAAAACATTCAAAAGCATATAAATACACTGTAAAAATAGCAAAAACAAAAAAACCAAAAAAAAATAGCAAACAAAATTGTTAACAAAAAGAAGAAAAACTAAGAAAATAACTTGAAACTTGCATGCAACTTTTCGCTAGTGAATATTTTTGAAACGTAAGTTGAATATGCAATTTGGAATATACATACATATAAACAAACATACTTATATATAAAACTTTTCCCAGAAAATATATGCATACATATAGCATATGCAAAAACAAAAACAAATTGCAACCCAACATTTATGTAACGGTGAACTAAAAAAATACAGCATTGTTTGATAGGCATTTTTAGTTGAATTCTTCGCTAAAAACAAAAATTACTACTTTAAAACGAAAACTTATGAATCGAACGAATACAAAAACAAAACACTTAAAAATTTTAATAAATAAAAAGCTGACAATAAAATGCTTGTGCAGATTTTTTTCTCTATTCACATTATTTATTGCCATTCGCAAACACCTAAAACTACATACATACTTACATAATTATCTTGTACTTTTCATTATTTTCCCTCGGTGCATGCTCTATTCAAGCTTGCCTGGACCGGCGTCTGGCTCTGCCTAAAATTGGCTTCAAATGCAAACACGCAAATTCGCTATTCGTTATACTCGACTCGCTTAATTCGTCAATTTTGTCAGATATTCAAATTCAAATTCAATTACAATGCACACATACATACAATAATTTTTATGAATCGCATTCATCGTTCGATTTCGATTTGGTTTGGCTCGCGGTTGACCTACAAACAACTAAATCATTTGTGTTCAAAACTCGCTCAGTTTGTGGTATATACAATGGACTTTAATTTTTTATTTTTATTTTTTCAAAATAATGCTATGCATATATATACATATGTATATATATATATATTTTTTTGGTTATTGCTAAATCATTCACGTGTTTTTTTATTATTACATATGTACATGCATACATATGTAGTTACCTATGTATGTGCTGCTATAACTACGATCTACGTACGTATATGCATACATAACTACATTTTTATTTAGCTTTAATTTCTTTTGTTCTTGTTTATGATTAGCTATTAAAGCGCTTTTTTATCTAAAAGTTTTCTATTTGAATTCTATTTGTATGTACAAAATATTACTTAATTGTAGGAGAAAGCAAAATATTAAAAATTGTTTGTGAAAAAAAATGCAAAAACATGTAAATAAAAATGAACTTTTTTGAAGTTGAAAGTAAACAAAAGCACAAAAAATGCACAATTGACTTTATTATTTCGAAAAAGGAGATAATGGGAATTGATTTGTTTCATCCGGTTTTGGTTCATTTCTGTGTTGCTTTCGTTTTCTGCGACGTTTGGTGTTTGGCTGGGTATTTTACTGACTACGTTGCGTTACTTTATTGCGTATGCCGATTTGTGCATTTTCGTAGCTTCTGCTTCATTTTCGGCTCGATTTTAGAGGGCAACACTGATTTCGATAGACTTCTTTATGTGTGATTACGTATCCGTAAGTATAAGGTCTCCATAAGCTACAGATTTTGAGAAAAACGTGGAATAATCCATCTATGCTTCACGAAATATACTCAGAAGTATAAGTTTTACATATTAAAAAATACTGTTTTTATTATCGACTGTTGGGATCTGTGTATATCGGATCAGTGCTGGGGGGGGGGGACGACGAACTGCGCCGCTACTTACAAAACGAGAATGCACCAGCTCAATCTGTTGAAATTACAAGTAAGGGCTTGTTCGAGTTGCAATCACAGCCGCAGTGTTGCGCGAATTATTAAAGTATCACGTTCTGTGTGAATTTCTAGTAACTTATTATAAGTTGGGCAGTTGCAACGGTGCTTCAAATTTTCATCAGTACGGAAGTAATGACGCTTTTATTTCGCGCCTCGAACAGGCCCTAACTTTATTGCGCTTTCTGGCATTGAAGAAATTCGCCCATAGGTATTACCTCCTCGTTAAAGGTTGCCAACTATTGGAAAATAGTTAGAAATTAAATAAAACATTATACTATGGGTGTCAAATGAAAGGAATTTTTGAAATCCCCTAACAATATTTTTGAATAGGGTTGCCACCTATTTTGAATTCCACATTTATTTAATTTTTTGTTTATAAAATAAAGGTACTAGTAAAATTGTATTCATGAATACTAAAAGAAGGCTCTTAAGCAATGATTTGCTTTTATACCAATTGTTATCCCTTAGGATATTAGAGATAGGCGACCACTTATTTTCGATTCTACTAAATTTAACTAAAACAACACAATGTGGGTATAAAATTAAAAATATTATTGAGAACATTAGTGCGAAGATATTTTCGATGAGGATTGCATTGTATTTTGAATACAAAAATGTATTTTGTTAATTTCAATAAGAATTTTTGAAGTGAAACTTCTTAATCGAGTTCGGAGATGGTTGCGTTAAATATTTAACACCAAGGCATAAAATCTGTATCGTTCGATCGATTTTTAAAAATGAGGTGTCACATGAAAGGCCTCGTCCTTCGGGTGTGCAATATGGTTTTAGTTCCATGAAAGGAGTTGCCACATGTTAGATAAACGAATTCAAAATTTCTCTGCCGCAGAGGGTTGCGTTAAATATTTAACACCAAGGCATAAAATCTGTATCGTTCGTTCGATTTTCAAAAATGAGGTGTCACATGAAAGGCCTTGTCCTTCGGGTGTGCAACGTAGATTTAGTTCCATGAAAGGAGTTGCCACATGTTAGAAAATCGAATTCAAAATTTCTCTGCCGCAGAGGGTTGCGTTAAATATTTAACACCAAGCCATAAAATCTGTATCGTTCGTTCGATTTTTAAAAATAAGGTGTCACATGAAAGGCCTTGTCCTTCGCGTGTGCAATACAGTTTTAGTTGTTTAAAGGGTTGCCATATATACGAAAATCAAATTCAAATTATTTATTAAGTTAAATGAATTATCCCAATATGGGTATCAAAAGAAATGGTTTTGAATAAACTGTATTTTTTAGCTACATGTAGGAGGGTTGCCACCTGTTTCAAAAGTAAAATTTAGTTAAATTATACAAAAGTCTTACGCTTAAAATACTATACAGTACAGAAAGAGCTTACAGAAACACAATTAAAATATTTTTGAGGTGCCTGAAGAGGGTGGCCACCTGTTTAAAAAGTTAAACTCAAATTATTGAAGCAAATCTTATTATTATAGCTCCGTTATGTTTGCGATAAATATTTAACGCCACGGTACAGGTAGCATATGACGGGTATAGAAAACGAATAGCTGCGTTAAACGCCAATTGGGCGGGAAAAGACTAATGCAAAGACAAGAATATAATCAAAAACAAATATAAAGATAAGATGTAGATGAAGATGAAGATGAAGATGAAGATGAAGATGAAGATGAAGATGAAGATGAAGATGAAGATGACGATGACGATGAAGATGAAGATGAAGATGAAGATGAATATAAATATGAAGATGAAGATGAAGATGAAGATGAAGATGAAGATGAAGATGAAGATGAATATAAATATGAAGATGAAGATGAAGATGAAGATGAAGGTGAAGATGAAGATGAAGATGAAGATGAAGATGAAGATGAAGATGAAGATGAAGATGAAGATGAAGATGAAGATGAAGATGAAGATGAAGATGAAGATGAAGATGAAGGTGAAGATGAAGATGAAAAGAAGATGAAGATGAAAATGAAGACGAAAATGAAGATGATGATGAAGATGAAGATGAAGGTGAAGATGAAGATGAAGATGAATATAAAAATAAGTAGACTGTTATGATCGACCTTTAATTCTCGCAGGAGATTTCAATGTCAACTTTTCGCTGGGCGAATATGATGAACTGACAAAATTTTTCAAGGAAAAATTTTCATTGGAAATGGCTATTGGTAGAAATGTTCCAACAACCAAAGGAGCGACTACCATTGATGCAGTTTTTCTAGAAATATTAATAATATTGAAATAAAACTTTTCATATCTTACTTTAGTTACCAGGTAATATTGTAGATATGCATGCTTTCTCAGCCGAAAATAATAATTAAACTTAGCAATTGGCTATAAAAAATAAAAAATTAAAGTTCGTTAAAAAAAATTAAAATAAATATGTATTTAGTGTATTAGAAAATATGTACATGTGTATGTATATCGCACATTTCTTTCTTTCTGAAATTCCTCTATTAAGTTTCACTTCTTCCGCGCGTAGGGACTACACGCACTGAGTTTTTTTTGTATACGCTCAATATACCTATATACTCTTCATCCCAGCGTATTTCCAAAAAGTGTTGGTACCTAATTTTTAAGGTAAGAAATGTACTTTTTTCATAAGATATAAAAAGCCAAATTTTGGATTTTTTTCCAAAATATTCTTTTTAAAAGCTCTCTTATGTAACTAAACCGTTTTCCGATACTCAAACTTTGAAAACTTAAAAAAAATGTATGCACTTCGAGCAAAGCTCGGTCAACCTGGTACTGTAAAACTTGAGAAAGCGATTTTGGAGACTGTTTTGAACTGTGGATGTACAGGTAAAATTAAAAAAAATAATATTGAAGATTAAAAATAACAAATTGAAAAAATGTTTACATGTTTTTTCCGCACAACTTACCGAACTTTTGTTCGTCTCCGCGTATTTAAAAAAATGTGCCCAAACGGTCGATTGCACAGGTACTTAATTGTTTTTATAAAGCATTCTGATCACAAAGCAACATTTGCTATTAAACGTTTTTTTATTGAATTAAAAATTCGTTCGCGAGCAGAGTGCAAGTCGGATGTGCGCAGTATTCAAGTGGTGATTTTATTTATTTACCAGCACAAAGGTTATCAAATCGTTGTTTTTTTTTGCTTTCAATTTCATTGCCTTGCCAAGTGGTGTTTTTATTATTAGACAGTAAATGCAGTACTCTATTTTGTGTGTTTAATAACATAAAAAATTGTTGTCAATGCTCACATAAAAACGCTGCAGAAATATGTACATATGTACTATATAATAATTCGCACATGCATACATACTTTCGTACATCAATTATTCTGAAAAGCCGATCGATTACTCGCCTTGCTTGCTTGGTAGGCGCATTGCTTGCGGGTGGGTGGCAGCATACAGCGCAGATTGCCGCTCGCGTTCTGGAGTAAATTGCCCCTCGAAATCACTGATCCGATACTGTTCATCAGCGACATGTGTATGTATGTACATTAGGGTGGTCCAAAAATTCACGTTAAAAAGTAAAGTGGGATTTTTTATGCTCTCACCTCCTAGGATTGTTTTATATCGAAAAAATATACCCCTACTTTTTTATTTTGTTTGCCTTCAGGAGATTCGCAATAATCAAACCAAATTCTTTATTTAACTATTTTATCATAGTTCAGTGGACGCCCAGTAAAAGAACTTCCGGGTAACGAATTTTCGGTTTAACGAATCATCCGAATTATCTCATTGATGTTTCTACATATATTACGAACGCAAACGATTCTTATTGTTCGATAAAACTAACGCTATTTATGTTTTAGCTGAAATTTCGCGTTCTTCGCAAAAGCAAAGATAATCTTAATTCAACGGTATTTCAACTGCAGAAAATATTTATGTATCGCAATGGAGAAAAGCTTGGA